CGTACCGTCCCGTACCCGTACCCTTACCCGTACCCTACCCGTTCCCTACCCTCCCTTACCCTCCCTCCCGTCCCTCCCTCCCTCCGTCCTCCTCCCTCCTCCTCCTCCTCCTCCTCCTCCTCCTCCTCCTCCTCCTCCTCCTCCTCCTCCTCCTCCTCCTCCTCCTCCTCCTCCTCCTCCTCTCTCTCTCTCTCTCTCTCTCTCTCTCTCTCTCTCTCTCTCTCTCTCTCTCTCTCTCTCTCTCGCCCTCTCTCTCTTGTTCGCTCTCCCCTTCTCCCCAGCTCTTATGCCTCCTCCCAGGTCCCCTAAATCAGCTCTTCTCCAACCTTTTCATCTTCGGTCCCCAACTGCCTAGGAGAGTGATTCAGACCCTCGGTTGCAGGGGCAGTCTGCAGCTCAAGACAGCTGTGAAGTCTCTTTCTCTACGTGAAAATGCACCTGACGCACGCTCTTGAAACAGGCAAAAAGCCTACTCACTGGGTCTGCCTCCGACGTATTCCGGCTTCCCCTAAATGGACATAACCAGTGGATAAGACAAGGCTGAATTTGTTACTTACTGCTAGTTCAGTACGGTAGCTTGTTGAGGGGGGTGGTGGCGCTGGCAGTCAAATTTTACTGAGAATTTGCAGTTTGGTTTGAAATTGAGGACTTGATAAGGATTGGGTAAGGGTCATGGTATATTGTAGGATTATGAAAACAAAGTCTTAAGGTACAAACTGTTGACCCTTTCTCTCGAAGTGTTGGTAGGTCTTTCAGGAAGTTCCTATAATGAAAGATTCATTTATTTGCCTTGACCATAGTATAGTCAATAAAGACAATGAAATAGTAAAGCCATATTAATGTAGAAAGTTCTGTTTCCACCTCTCAGGAGAGGAACTGGGGAACTAGAGGACAAGGATGAGATTTATTTTTCACTATATGGCCTTTTACACTGTTTAAATTTTTGAAAACACATCTTTGGCTCTCCCATTCCTAAAAGATAATTACAGATTTTAAAATGCATGCGTATTCAGTATTCGACTTCATCATAGAGGCTTGTTTTTAATAAGATAAAATAATTGTTCACCAAATAAGATTGGCCTGCAGAAAACAGACCATGTGTAAAGGCCTCCACCCATGCTTCCTGCCTGAGGACGAGTGCGCAGTTGTGTACACACACAAGCACATGCACATGCACGTATCACGTGGGCATAATTGAAGAAGCACAGCAGGGACTCAGGTTCAGTCACCCCATCCCTTTCCCCTAGTGTTGGGAACCAGGAGTTGAGGTCAGTTGAATCCACCTAGCAGGACAGTGCCCCTCAGTGGGAGGGGAGCGGGCTGGGTCTCTCTAGGGCCCCAAGGCTTGGTCCTTCTCCCTGCCTCGGCCTATCGTGTTTTGCTGCCTGACAAACCTGGACCTTGTGTCGGGGTCCACTTGAGTGAGACAGGAGGAGGACAGGGAGCATGCCTGAAAGGCAAAAAGAAGGAAAGCCTCTTTGCTCTGCCGGACCTCTTTCCAGCCGGAGGTCTCAGGGTGCCAGCCTCTGCCTGGGGAAAATACAAATTAGCGAACAGCTTTCGGGCTGTAGGTGACCCATCATCCTCTGGAGAAAGAGTTTCTCTGCGCCCAGCTCTGAGCTACAAGCCTCCCAGAAAATGGACTGAATCAGAAGTGACAGAGACCTCAGAACCAACCTTGCTACTTCCTCTAGAAGACTATGGTATGTTTTGTTTGGATTTAGAACCCATTAATTGTAAATAAACGTGATCAGAATGTAAACAGAAATGTTGCAGCCTGAGGACTTACCCCGAAACTCCTAGGTTAGTTATCAGGAAATTCCCAGCAGACTGTCGTGATTCACAGAGCTCCCCCAGCAGCTCGCATGACTCCAGATTACTTGGCTGGAGGCTGTCATGCTGATTCTGAGAGCTGGGTGACCTCATTTCCTCCCGGACAAAGAGGCTTGGAAACCGTTATGCACCATGACACCCCTCTTCCCCTCTTTCCCACTGTGGCCTCTTCACCTGGTTGAACAATCCTAGAGCCTCTGTGAAGACAGAACTCTCTTTCCACTCTAATCTTCAGTGCTCTCTGAAATCTGTGTCTATCTTTTGGACACAGTCTGTGCTAGCCTTTTAGTTCTTTCAGGGTAGAGAGCCCATCGTAAATATCTTTGTCTCTCCCTCTGCACCCGGTGCAGCCTTGTTCACCCAGGTGCTTTTTTATGAATGAATCCATGAACAAGTAAAAATAGAAAGCTTTGAGGCACCCTGGAAGTTTCCCTCCTCTTTGTCATTTTTTTTCTTTTCCATAAAAAAAAAAGTACTAAGATAATTTCTGTCTAGTGCTCAAAAGGACTTTGATACAAGCCATTCCTCTTTAAACTCACAACTGCTTTATGATAGCTGGGAATTATTATCCCCATTTTGCAGATGAAGAAAATGAGGTGGAGAGAAGATACGTGGCTGATGAGTGGCAAAGCCAGTGCCAGAACCCAGGTTTACTGATCTCAGTTCCACTGCTCTCTATCTCTCTGCCTCCGTAAGAGACAGGTTCAAGATAGAAGGCTGTAAAGAGAAAGGCCAGATGATGTAAGATGTTCCAGCTCAGGGGAGCCCTCTTGCTGGCTTTGGAGACCTCCTCCCAGAAGCACTGCTAGGACTATGGGTTTGGAGCTCCTGGGAGGCCCCGGCTGTCATATGAGTTAGTCGCTTGCCTGAGTTTCAGGAACTAACTCCATGGTATGGCTATCTGAAGTTTCTATCAAGTGTGAGAGAATAAGGAACTAAATGTATATGATTTCATTTTGTTCCTGACTCCCAGAGTAAAACCACCAGCTTCCTGCCTCTGTATCTCAGTGGTCCAGACATCTCGAGTTAGATGTGGTAACAGAGACTAATGGAGAGGCCCCCTTTCCTGGAGCTGCTCATCAAAAAGCAGGCAGATGCCGGGAGTGCAAAGAGGACCAGGATGTCGAACTTGGCCGAGACTGCGTCCAGGAAACTGGGCCATTGAAAGGCTATTTTCTGACTGACAGGACCCAAAGGAAAGTTCACATCGAGTCACAGGATGTTTTCCTGTGTTGCTATACTAAGGACGTTCAGCATGGTACATTGTAGAGAGTACAATGTCCGGCTGCAGGTCAGCTACGTCCAAATTAAATGACCTCAGGCAATACACCCTACTCTTTTGATCTCAGTTCCCCATCTGCAAAATAAGGCAACACCTGCCCTGCCCATGCCTTGCTTTGCAGATTGAATGAGACCATATTTGTGTGTGAAATCACTCGTTCATTCCTTTGTTCAGTCACCCAGTATTTATCAATGAGCATCCATGTGTCAGGCGCAGTTCTAGAAGCTAGAGAAAGAAGAATGAACTTTGTAAACTAGAATTCGTACCTTGAGTGCCTGCCTTGCCTTCCTGACTATGGCGGTACTGGCCTAGAAGTCCAGGCCATTCCTGGGAGTCCATCCCAGGATTCTAGCTGATTGGGGATGCGGTATCCTTAGCCAAACAGTTCCCAGCAATGCAGCTGGCCAACTGCGTGCGCTGCTGGCCCCCACAGCCCTGACTCCCACTCTCTCCTCCTCCTCTCCAGTTGTCTGTGGGCTGAAGCTCTTCTCTTTCTCTCCTACACTTGGGGCAGACTCCTCTGCGGTTCTGGGAAGGAGGCAGTCAGTGCTGGTCACAGAGCTTCCTTGGGTCTGAGGACTCCTTCTCCCTGCGTGTGTAATGCTAAGGGTGAAGATGCTGTTGTCAGAGCAGGCACTGGAAGCCACGTCTGGGGCTGTAACACGATAGGGGAGGTACTGGAGCTGCTAGGCCCCCAGCGGCCTTTGGAAAGAGTGGGGAGGGGAAGATGCATACTTGCTTCCTTACTCACCAAAAGCAAAGAGCCAGGGGCTACACCCTGGGGTTATACTCTGTCATCAGTGAACAGAAGGGCCAAGTTGGACCCTCCAGCTTCAGCCTATGACCCCTACCCTCTCACCCTTTCCTGCCTCATCATCTCTGGCTCAATTCCTAGCCCCACCCAAGCCAGTAAGCTCAGACCTCTGCATGAATATTTTGAGCCTTGGCCAAATTTTTCTTCGTCCCTAATCTAAACCCAGTTACTTGCTAAACCAGTCATTTATTATCTCAGAGTGTTGGTCATAGCTTTCCAGACCTTCTGCATTCTGAGCTCTCCACCAGGAATCAAAGCAAGGCCCTGGTCCTAGAACCTCTGCTTAGAGCCCAGGTTACCGTGCTGGATGGAAAAGAATACTTAACCGGAAGTTAAGGGGATACCGAGGAACGAAGGGCTGGAATGGGGAACCAGAAACTGGTAGATTTGCTGAAAATTGCCAAGAAGTCAATGATGTGTAAGGGGCTATGTTGAGCCAGGAGCGTTCAAAAGCGTTGTTCAGAAGAAAACTAACATAACACCCACAGCCTCTGTGATATGTAGTTTCATGGGCTCATGACCCTCCCGAGCTAGTTCTATATGCTTCTCTGTCTTTAAAGCAAGTGCAAGCACTTCCCTTCCATTACACAGAGAGGAAAATAGAGGGCTAATGAAGGGAAGTGAATCATCTGAGTTCATTCATTAAAAATGATGAGATTCAGAATTCACCGATTTTGAGGAACCTCATGACACACTTCCACCCTCTCCCCTCCTATTCTGAATCCTCACTCCTCCCTTCCTGACCACCCTCAATCCCCACCCTCAGTCTCTTTGTCTTCCTACCCACCTGCAGAAGGTGCAATTGATAACAGCGTGATGAGGCAGCCAAGTCCCGGGGAGTGGTCAGTCTCCCTTTAGAAGATGGCGTGGGACGAAATGTATGGGAGTCTGTGGGAAGGGGTAGCAGGAGCATGGAAGGGAGCCCCCAAAACAGATGCGTATGCCGAGTGAATAGAAGGAATAGTAGGTAGGTGATCTAACCAAGAGGCTCCTGTTTACTCTGAGAGCAGTGATAGTGGGAATAGACAGAAACTAAAGAGGAAGTCTTTTCTCTCCAAGTGGATATTATAATCCATTCCTTGTTAAAGATCGTTTATAGTGGCCAGCCTTTATTTGCCTTACATTTATTTTCTTTTTCAGTGGTAGCAACAGTACCTTAAAGAAGGCACTATTAAGATCACCATTTTATGGATGAGAAAACCGAGGCTTACGGAGTTTAAGCAATTTACCCAAGGTCACCCCATAGGTAAATGGCAGAGTTGGGACTCTATCACCAGAGCTGGGTGATTCTAGGGTTTGGAGAACTATCTCTGAGGCAATATCACATCGTGTCAGGAAGGTGGGGGTTCTTGTCCTTACACCTACTAGGGAATCTTCTGACTCTAAGCTGTGGTGCCATCCCAGGGTAGGCCCAGCTGTCCCAAGTCACGGCTGGGTTGAATCCTGCCTACACAGCTTGAGCCAGACTGATTAAAATGTTCTTCCTTTTGCTTGATAAAGCCAACCACAGTTGTGTCTGCTGAGTCTAGTCAGAGAAGTGATCACTGGGACTTCTGGCTGTGCTTATGTATCTGTGTAGATCCCTGGAAACACCAATGGCCAGTCTGCCTTTTGCAAAACCGTTATTCAGCCATATTTATATGATGGAGATACCCTAAGAGTTTTCTGGGGAAATAACATAGCATCTATATATTGAGCGTGCATTTTATTTAGCAGGCGTTGGGTAACCGTTCTGTGTGCATTACCTTATTTAATTCTCAGTGAGGGAGATGCAGTATCAATCCCACTTAATAGATAAGGAAACCTAGCCTCTGAGATGTTAAGGACACTCTGCCAAGAGAGTACCTGGCAGGTCAAGCCAGGTTTCTGACTTTAGGCTTGTCTTGATTACCAGTAAAATAGTGTTGCCTCTTTATTCCTTTCTGAGGAAAAAAAAATGTACCCCGTTATGTCGGTGCCTAGGAATCAGTAATGATAAATATTCACTAATGTTATGTTTTCCAGTCTTGTCTGATGACAGGAATCACGTGGCTTAAACGTTTAAAAAAATTTAGACTTTCAGATTACTTCCTTGGAAATTCTGATTCATGAAGTCCAGGATGGGGCCCAGGAATTCTTAATATGAATCCCAGAGGAGTCTTACTATCAAAGAAGTGTGGTGAAAATGTCAGCCAATGCATATTTAGGGAGTGTTGGTTTATTTGTTTTTCACCTGGGAATGCTCAGTTGCATCCCAAACTTTCTATCTACTGGAGCTTCTGCTCTAACCCCATCCTTTGAGATGGAGGCAGGAGGAGAACAGAGGTGGAAAAGGTCCGGGGCTGGAAGGCTGACTCTGGGGCAGAATTGCCCAGAGAGAGCTGAATCACAAAGGGGATGTACACCTGAGAGCCTTGTGCCAACCCAGCCACCCTGAGGCGGTTTGTCTCAAGAATCTGTTCTCACAAAGTTAATTGTTTGAGCACTTCTGTACTTGTTCCTTTTTTAGATACTAAAGTTTCATTTGAATATGCCAAATGGGAGCCTAATGGAGGGACTTTCCATATAGAAACTGAAAGAACTTGGGGCATCAGAGTAGCCCTCAAAGTCATGGCAATGGATAAGAAATTGACTCCCAGAGATGTCAGGAAGCTTGGGAGAAACGGAGTAAAGGTGAGAACAAAGCAGAATGGAAAATACCTGTACTTACTGGGACCTTTCTATCTGTGATAGTTCCTCATGGTTCCTATGCTGGCCCAACTCCTGAGCTTCTCAAGATCAGTGTTTTTTTTTTTTTTCCCCTAGGAGCTTCTGGTTCCACTCAAATAAAACTAGGTTTCCAGAGCATTGAGCCTCTGTAAGGAGGGTGGGAACTACCCCTAGCAACAATGGACCCAGCAGCTTGTGGGATGACCACAATGTTTGCACTTTTAGTCAAGAAGGAGGTGGCAGCGACATTCTTCCCATGCAGACTCTAGTGTCCTAAAGAATTATTCAGTCTCTATCATGGCAGTTGGCCTGTTCTATTTGTAAAGAAAATTCTACCCCAAGTTCTAAAAGTAGAAGTGAGCTCAACTCAAACTGTTCATTTCATTCAGTGAACCAAAAATTACTTTAGAATACCTAACATGTGCCTGGCACGTGCTAGCCCTGCGGGCACACAGAAGAGCAGACCTGACCCCTGCCCTGAAGACGTTTAAAATCAGGTAAAGAAGGAAAAATGAATATACATGAAATAATTTTAAAACCCCAGAAAATAACAAGTGTTGGCAAAGGATGTAGAGAAATTAGAACTCTTGTGCACTGTTGGTGGGATTGTAAAGTGCTGCAAACCACTATGGAAAACAGTATGGCAAGTCCTCGAAAACTTCAATCTATGGTGAGAATGTAAATTGGTGCAACTGCAATGGAGAACAGTGTGGAAATTCCTCTAAAAACTAAAACTAGAGTTACCATATGATCCTGCAATCCCACTCCTGGACATATATCTGGAGAAAACTAACTCAGAAAGGTACATGCACCCCAGTGTTCATAGCAGCACTGTTTACAGTAGCCAAAACATGGAAGCAACCTAAATGTCCATCAACGATGACTGGATAAAGAAGCTGTGGTAAATTTAGACAGTGGAATACTAATCAGCTATAAAAAAAAAGAATGAAATAGTTGCTGGATTGTATGGTGGTTATATTTTTCATTTTTTTGGAGGAATCTCTGTACTATTTTCCATAGTGGCTGGCTACACCAATTTACAATTCTACAAACATTGCGCGGGGTTACCTTTTCCCCACATCCTTGTCAACACTTGTTGTCTTTTTGCTGATAATCATTTTGATGGGTGTTAAGTTGTATCTCATTGTGGTTTTGATTTCCATTTCCCTGATGAGTGATGCTGTGCGTCTTTTCATGCATCTGTTGGCCATCTGTATATCATCTTTGGAAAAATGTCTGTTCAGGTCCTTTGCCCATTTTTATATTAATATTATTATTATTATTATTATTATTATTATTATTATTATTATTATTTTGCTATTGCATTGCATCTTTACATATTTTGGATATTAACTCCTTATCTAATATGTCATTTGCGAATACCTTCTCCCATTCAGTAGGCTGCCTTTTCATTTTGTTGATGGTTTCTTTCACTGTGCAAAGTTTTTTAGCTTGATATAGTCCTATTTGTTTATTTTTGCTTTTTTTCTCTTGCCTGAGAAGCCAGATCCCAAAAAAATATTGTTAAGACTGATGTTGAAGCATGTACTGCCTGTGTTTTCTTCTAGGAGGTTTATAGTTTTGGGGCTTGCACTTAAGCCTTTAGTCCACTTTTAGTTTATTTTTGTATATGGTATGAGAAAGTGTTTCAGTTTCATTCTTTTCCATGTAGTTGTCCAATTTTCCCAATATCATTTATTGAAGAAGCTGTATATTCTTGCCTTCTTTGTCGTACATTAATTGACCCTGTAAGCATGAGTTTATTTCTGGGTTTTCTATTCCATTGATCTTTGTGTCTCTTTTTGTGCCAGTATCATATTGTTTTGATTACTGTTGCTTTGTAGTATAGTTTGAAATCAGGGACCATGACACCTCCAGCTTTGTTCTTCTTTCTCAAGATTGCTTTGGCTAATTGAGATCTTTTGTGATTCCATACATATTTTAGGATTATTTGTTCTAGTTTTATGAAAAATGTCATTCGTATTTTGGTAGGGATTGCACTGAATCTATAGATTGCATTGAATCTGTAGGTTGCTTTGGATAGTATGGACATTTTAACAGCATTAGTTCTTTCAGTCCATGAGCATGGTATATCTTTCCATTTGTTTGTGTCATCTTCAATTTCTTTCATCAGTGTCTTGTAGTTTACAGGATATCGATCTTTAACCTCCTTGGTTAGATATGTTCCTAGGTATATTATTCTTTTTTGTGTAATTGTAACTGGCATTTTCCTAACTTTTCTTTCTGATAGTTTGTTATTAGTATTTACAAATGCAACATTTTCTGTATATTAATTTTGTACCCTGAAACTTTACTGAACTCATTTATTAGTTCTAACAGCTTTTTGGTGAAGTCTTTAGGGTTTTCTATATGTAGTGTCTTGTCACTATTTAAAGTGTCAGTTTTACTTCATCCTTTCCAATTTGGAGTCCTTTCATTTCTATTTATTGTCCAGTTGCTATGGCTAGGACTTCTAACACTATGTTGACTAAAAGTGTTGAGAATGGGTGTCCTTGTCTTGTTCCTGATCTTAGAGGAAATGCTTTCAGCTTGTCACCAGTAAATATGATGTTGGTTCTGTCATATATGGCCTTTAATATGTTGAGGTCAGTTTCCTCTATACCAACTTTGTTGAGAGTCTTTTTTAACATAAGTGGATGTTGAATTTTGTTAAAAGCTGTTTCTGCATCTCTCAAGATGGTTATATGATTTTGATGCTTCAGTTTGTTAATGTGATGTATCATATTGATTGATTTGTGGATATTGTACCATCCTTGCATACCCTGGATAAATCCCATTCAATCATGATACATAATCCTTTTAATATATTGCTAAATTCAGTTTGCTTACATTTTGTTGAAAATTTTTGCTTCTACGTTCATGAGTGATACTGACCTGTAATTTTCTTTTCTTTCTTCTTCTTCTTCTTTTTTTTTTGTGGTGTCTTTGGCTTTGATATCAGGATGTTGCTGGCCTTGTAGAATGAGTTTAGAAGCATTCCTCCCTCTTTGTTTTTTTGGAATGGTTTGAGAAAGATAGGTGTTAACTCTTCTGTGAGTGTTTGGCAGAATTCACCTGAGAAGCCTGGATTTTTGTTTGTTAGGAGTTTTTTGATTACTGATTTAGTTTCATTACTGGTAATCAATCTACTCATATTTTCTATTTCTTTCTGATTCAATCTTGGAGACTGTATGTTTCTAAGAATTTATCTATGTCTTCTGGGCTGTTCAATTTGTTGACATATAGTTGTTCATAGTAATCTCTTATGATCCTTTGTGTTTCTGTGGTGTAACTTCTCCTCTTTCATTTGATTTTATTGATTTGCGCTCTTTCAGAGCTTCAGTTTTGCAAGATGAAGAGGTCCTGGAGATCTGTTGCACAACAAAGTAGATATACTTAACACTACTGAACTGTATACTTCAAAAGGATTAAGATGATAAATTCTATGTTATGTATTTTAAGAATTGTTTACGTTAAACATTCTGACCACTGACCATAAATGCAGTAGAATCTTAGAAAATAGAGATAATAAAATTATAAATTTCCTGAACCTGAACAAATCTTAATGGATGGGTCATGTTGAGATTGGTAGAGGGCAGGAAAAAAGAAGTTCTAAGCAAGAGTTCTGGAAAAAGTCAGGAGCTGGAATAAACATAGTATATATTGTGGAGAGTAAGACTTTTTATGTTTAACTCTGTGTGTGTGTGTGTGTGTCTGTGTGTACATTAGCAGTGAGATTTTTGGCCCAATTAGGGAGCGTTTACATAGAAGAGTAGTGAAAACTAAGTACAGATAGGTAGAGTGAAGTCAGATTATAAAAGATCTTTAAAGACAGGTAGAAGTCTGTACTTAATACCATGGACTCTAGGAAGGCACTGTAGATTCTTGAATGAGGGTGGGTGTAAGGTTTTTAGTAGAGCTGAAAATTCCCACTGGTTTCAATTGAAATCAATGAAGCAAAGAGACTAACTTGTATTTCGTCTGGGTTTGGGCTGGAGGGAATGGGGAAATGATAAACCCCAGGGTGAGTGAGCAGTGGGAGTGAGAACTGAAATAAGAGGCCACCAGAAGGGAAGTGAGAATGCATAGTAGGGATGAGGACATATACAACCATCTTTGTTCCTATTCCTTAGAAGGTTTTGGTTTTTCAAACTTGCAGGTCACATGTTTTGCTTTGGAAAGAGCTTAGAAAGTTCCTTTAAAGGGCTGTGCCATGAAATCCATATTTGAAGGCCAAAACAATAGTTTCATGGGTTGGAATGGGAAGACTGAGGGCAGAGAGTACCACTGTCCAATCCCAGGGGCACCTGTCAAGTACAAAGGCCATATCTCCACGCATGAGCTGAGAGCTTCCTCTTGAGGAAGCGGTGACTGCCCATGGTGAGGGCTATGGCTTCAGAGTCAAGAGACTGGAGGTCCATTCTCAGCGTGGTCGCTGACTCGACTTTCAAACCTGGGTGAGTCACTTCCCTCCGTAGGCCTCTGTCTTCTCTTTTGTGGAATGCGGGAGGATGTTCTTTCCACCTGCTTTCATAGAAGAAAGAAGTGGTTGAAAGAAAAATAAATGTATATCAGGCACCTTTAAGCAAAGGGGTGAGGTCTGGGCTGACGCAAAGCCCAGGATGTATGAGGACATGGAGGCCAGGTTTGACGCACCCGGCTCTTGACATCAGACGTCTACGGAGAGGACGTAATTATTGAACAATATAAACAAATGTTGCCCCAGAGAGTCTAGTTCTGGGAATACGAACAGGGAATCATGACAAAAATTCCAGGTTTCCGAGTTTCCCTCAAGGAGTCATGAGGCTTATAAGGAGGTGAATCACCACACCCAGGATCTGTCTTGGAGACCTAAACTGTGAAACACCAGCCTCAGCAAAAGAAGAGGCTCGAGGCAGCCCTGATTCAAATAGCTTGGGCATTCTAGTGAGAATATAAGCTGTTCCGTTAGGTCCTGGTGAGACCAAGAAAGAGTTTTGCCTGAGGCTCTGGATGTTGTTCTAGTCCTGAGGTCAGTGGCAGGTCAGAGCCATAAAGCCAGTCCCTGAGGAGCCAGCCTGGTTGTCTCTGGTCTGGAAGACTGTGTGGAAAAAGAAGCTCAGTTGATTGTAGGGCCTAAAGAAATGGAATTTGTACTCTTCCCAAAGTTGGTGTTACTTCTCAATCCAACTCTCCATAGCAATAGGCATCGAGATGGGCAGCAGTTTGTCGGAGCCTGGAAGAGAGACCAGAGGGTACAGGGAGAAAG